ATAAGGATACCTGTCAGTTGACTACACCTTACAAAACCTTATCACACATTTCACAATTACCTACTACTAATAATCATACTTTAATGGTTAATGTTAAAAAAGGTCTGTACCGAATCTGCTGTGGTCCTTCCTGGTGCCCTGCACGGTTCCATCGGGACGGATCTCCAGGTGAAAGCCGGTCCTGCAGTAGAGCTGCCGCCGCCTCAGGATCCCCTTCAGGTGGCTAAGGTCCGCCAGGCTCCGGGACAGCCTCTCCGCGGACACGAGGTGCTCCTGCCCATGTCCCCCCATCATCAGTCCCGTCACTGAGTTGTAGTCCACCGCCCCGGCTGGGGTGAGCACGAAGTGTGAGCCCACGGGAGCAGGAGCGGCACCCGCGTGTCCAAAGCTGTCCAGAAATCCGTTGGCGAAACTCCCAACCTCGGCCGCTGCCCCCATCACATGCGATGACTGCACCCGAGCCGGTTTCGCACTACAGGGAAGATCCGAGTGGAGGTCCAAGTGATGGGCAGGGAGCCTCCGTGCGAACGAGGGTCAGCCCGAGAGATAGAGGGTGAGAGAAATAAAAGTTGGACGTGCAGGCGGAGAAAATCCTCAATGAGTGCGCGTTTTGGCGCAGTCAGCAGAGTCTCAATTAAAAGGTCATGTAAGTGAGATTAAAGTCCCTGGTGTGGTGAATGCAGGTGTCCTCCTGACTGCATCTGCCCGTGTCCCTTCTCCTCCTCCTCTCTTCTGCTATTTATCCGCCTCTCCCGTCCTCTCTCTGCTCCCTATCTCTCCTCTTCACCTCGGGATACTCCCCTTTGCTCCGATGCACGTCAGGGTTTTCCTCTCTCTCTCCCTCCCTCCCTCTCTCTCGTAACCTCCTTTATCACGCCAGTCTTTTATTCCTGCAGCAGCCTCCCCTCTGCTCTCTCAGCTCCTCCAGTAGCAGCACCAGCAGGATGATTTAACGCAGTGGCACCAACGCACCGCACTCCACATTCAGCTATGTAGAGCACAACTCCGTATAAAAATTCACCTTAAGTTGCCTCTTTATGCAAATGCCCACATATCTTCCCCTTATGGCCCATTTATGTTCCCGTTTGAAACAGAGCTCCTTCATCCCACTGCTTGTCTTCGTCCTGCCTCATCTGTGATGTGCCTTTGATCTGTGCTAGCGCAAAGATAGCGGTCCCATATTTCGTGTTTGGACTTGAAACTTAGCCTAGTGGTCATATATCTTTACATCCGGACATGGTATATGGTATAGCCGGTATATTCTTTTCAGATACCATGAGATATGACTTAAAATCTAATATGTTGAAACACCCGGAAAGCAGAAACTAGTTATGTTCGGACTTCTGGTCATATCTATACAATATCTTAATGTGGCACACGACTCGTGTCTTTATTGGACATCACTTTAAATCACTTTGGTAATATTTGTGAAATATCTGGACAGAAGAAATGACTCAAGTTCGGACATAAAATATCTTGACATGGGGCATGGCTGATATCATTATCAGATATAGATCATCAGATTGAAATGACTTTAATATTATTTTTGAAATATCAGAACTAAGGATTCTAATGGTATACACATCCCTAGAGGTAGACAGGCTCCGAGCATGGAACCTGTAACTCTAGAGATCGAAGAGTATATCCACTATGTATATAATCACATTTGGATCACATATTGGAATATGCAGGTCATAATATTTCTGGGTTCGCAGTGGTTTTACGCAGTGAGAGCGCATAGGGACTTGGAGAAGATATGGAAAACTACTAATAAAAATTAGCCTGACATGCTTGTTCCCCAACTCGTGCCTTCCAGCTATACGCAGCAGCTTTCCTGAATTTCATATTGACGCAGTGTCATGTTGCTCACAGGCACATCAGCAGTGTAGGACACCTGCCAGTTTTTGGAACTCCAACTCAGCAACTTGTTTGCGATAACTGGATAGAAAGAGAGTGTGTACGTGTGCACTGTCTGTCCCATGCAATGAAAGTGAAATTGCCATTACCTTAAACGCTTTACAACCCCACGCCCCCATTTCGAAATTACTCAGGTGCGGCGGCAGGGATAGGAAAGCCCCCATTTGCGTAATTTTCGCACTAGGTTGATTTATTACCCCTCGTTTTATGTAACCCAGCCGCACGTTTACAGCTCCCGCATAGACACAAACACACACATGAAGCCTACACACACGAGCACCCACACACACCTGTGCAAACGACATCACTTGACTGTCAATCCCTTCATTGATCTTTCCACGATGCTTTGAACAGCACAGGAGCCCATATATCCTTAATTGCCGTCTTAAAAGACGAATCAAGACACAGAGGCTTCAAAGTGGGAATATACCTGTTTGAACTGCAATCTGAGAAAAGAAAATACCCCGACACTTGACACTTGAAGAGCATCAGCTAAAAAACACACACATCTGTTAAATCGTTGTGTAAACGAGTGCATTTATAGGCGATACTGTGCATCTTTGCATTGACACTTTGACCATGTGCACTGCACTGATGCTTGTGCAGCAACTTATTGTACAGGTCACCCAGTCTACACTGAAGAGACCCTGCGAGGCAAGACAATATATTTAATCTCATTGCAGAACATGCTTGCTCGTTGAGGGAACTGCTGGATTTCTCTATAATCTTGGAAGGTTTTGACCTTCCTTCGCCTGTACCCTGGGATAACGTATAGGCTTTGTTGTGATTTGGCGCTATAGATACAAATAACACAGAATTGAAAATGTAACAGAACAAAGATTTTCAATTATTATTGTCAGAGATGTCAGCTTTCGGACTCGGGCTGGTTTGTTCTTCAGGGGCGCAGGGGGCATATGCTCCGACCTATATGGCACTGATTTTGGCATCCATACAGACTTGCGCTCGTGCGCAACAACGCGCGCGCGCACACAGCTGCCCCCTCCCTTGGGAGTCGCGTTGATAAATGAGGTGAAGGTGCAGAGGTGTTGGGGTGTGCGTGCATGCGTGTGGTCGCTATACGCATGGTCAGTATGTTATATGTGTGGATTTGCTCAGCGTATACATCCATACAGTGTGTATATATGTAATCTATTGTATCCTTTACTGGTTTGATCTATAGGCTATATATCACAGTGTCATGTGTACGTGCGTGTGACAGTCAGACTTAGGGCCCCTGTGTGATTGGCGTGGCTCCTTTTCCCTCGGTTCATTAGTATTTATGACCAAAAAAAATTTTTTTTTTCAAAGGAGACAGGATCGATCGGAATCGCCTCCGGCCTGATCAGGTCCTGATGTATTGGATATCGATCCCCAGCCACAATGAAGACGTCAACTGCAACGGTACATTTATAGGAGCAGGTGAGGGAACATTTCCCATGGTCACATGGTTTGCTTTTAAAATATACATTTCCATATTGGTTTACTGCACTGGTTGGGTGAAGCCAACCATGCAGCCACTATAGCAGTCAGTGGAGGAGGAGAATGAGGAGGAGGAGGGCCCCCCCAGGGTTACACCCCCCCACCCTGCAACCACCCACACATATATACACACAAACACACACACAAAAAGAAATTACAACCTAATCGAATGCCCGGATAATGGAATAACTGAATAAGTAGCCTAGAGGTTTTTAATGCAAGTGGTTTCCAAACTGAGGTGTGGGGAACTCCGGGGGTCCTTGAAAGCAGGATTCATAAGACCCACATCAAAATGTAGACATATTCTATTTAATCACTATTCAAAGTGCTGTACACCAGTTGGAAAATATATGAGGTTTCATTCTTATCACTTTTATGCACAGTCTTTTGTTCCTCATTGGACAAACTGCAAATAGATGAAAGTGCTCATGTATCTGCTTGGAGCTCTGTTATTTAAAAAAAAAATCATTAGATATATGAAGATATATAAATGGACAGAATATTTGTCAAAGCTGTTTAGAATTAAAAGTTAATCAACATTTTCTATTTTTTTAGAGGTCAGTTTTAATTATTTATCCATCTTCAGTCAATTAGGGAACCTTGTGTTATCTTTGTGTTATCACCTCAATAAGATAATCTTATTTGAAGAAAATAGGAATCAAAAAAACAAATTAAGGGCTTAATAATCGTACTTGACCCCTTAAAAGGGGTTTTCTTTCTTTGTTTGATCTGTTTTCAACTTTTGGTTAAATAGGTTAGAGTGATCCACTGCGCTTCATGTGTGAACAGGTGACAGCCCCATCCATTAGACTCCTCTCCTTTATTCTCCCAGCATCAAAGTGTGGAGAAAAGCCCCATCAGGTAAACATTAGTCCTACATGTAAAGACTTAAATGAAGAGTTGATCTTTGATATTCGTTTGATATCTGCTCGGCACCGCCTGCTTTGATTCTGAGCTTCCCACTGGAAACTCGATACCACGCTGACCCTCCATATAAAGTGAAGATTGACAAATATTGATGTCGTTGGTCACTTACAATTTTTCTCCATGTAAACTGAGATTACTTTCGTGTTGATTCTGGTGTGAGGACTATGGATATGTTTGTTGTGAGATATTATTTTGCAACTTGAGCATGTGTCAGAGCAGCTGGTGTCAGGACATACTACAGAATATTCCTTCATGTAAGTCCCTCTGAACAATTTGGCATAGCCTACATTGCAGCTACTTAGTGACTGTTTACGATATTTTAATGTACTTTAATTCATCAAGATTTTGAATAAATGACCTTGATAATTTCCTATGTTAAATTAAATAAATGACTTGGTTACTTCTATACCACCACTGGTTGTTAATGGGTTATGAATTTGATCTCCAATCACAAAGTTTCTAATATTAATATTTATCATTGGGTTTATATTACATATCTTAGGTTGAGCCATATATCGTTTCTATTTATATAATAAAAAACAACATGGAAACAAAACTGGAAAGTTTATCATTAACTGCCTCAGCATCAACACGGAGGCTGCACATCTCGCGATGAAAGCGTGTGAACGCGATATTTGAGTCCTGCCCCTAAAGTTACAATAATCACAGCAGCAGCAGCAGCAGCGGCTCCACCACCACAACCAGCAGCAGCAGCGATGGCCGCTTTCCGCAGAGTGGCTGCTCTGGCCGGGAAGATGAACCTCTGGTCGGCGGCAAGAACAGAGCTGGTCGGCGGTCAGAGGGTCGGTGGAGGGAGGGCCCGGGGCTGTGCTGCGGTCGGGATGTGTGTCGCGGCGGGAGGCGCCGTGGCTCTTTACTTCTACAGCGACATGGCGAGCGGCAGAGGCAGGAAGAGGAGGATGGAGAGACACAGCATCAACGATTTACTGCCGACCTTCCCCAGAGTCCAGGCCAAGGAGAAGGTAGGAGGCCCACAGTGTTTAACACTGAGGCTGCAGGGCTGTACTGATGCTGAGTCTGTGGACTCATTTAAAAGTCTCCAGTGTTGACATGAGGGCCTCAGTGTGGAAGGCAAAACACATACAGTATGTCCCTCCTCTAGGCCCAGCTACACGGGCCCACCTCTGCTGTGGCTGGCAGTGTGTCTGTGTTTTCCTCTGAGCGGACACACTGTGTCATTCATCCCCACATCACCCACTGGAAACTGTGGCTCACTGCTTGGCTGCTAAACCACGTGCGCGCGCACACCCATGCCTGGCGCTCTCCGCTCGAGCTGGTGCTGAAATGACAACAAGACCAGGGTGTCACCGTCTGAGCAGCTGGGTGAAGATGTGTGTGTGAGCAGGGTGACAGTGGTGAGACATTGGAGTACCATAATGTAGGAATACCTCCGATACAAGTCAAAGTTGTGCATTCAATATTTTGACATAAGTTCAAAGTATAAGCAGAAAAATTTACTTAAAGGTACAGTGTGTAGAATTTCACCCTCCTCTTCCACACATGAAAAAGATCCTGTTGTGTCATAAAAACTCAAAGGTTGTTTAGTTTGTCCAGTCTGGACTACTGTAAAAACCATGGCGGCCTCCGTTGAGAGGGTCCCCTCGATGTAAATATAAAGTATTTAAATATAAAGGGCCTTTTCTGGGGTAAAGAAAACTACAATTCATACAATTTAGATGAAACAAACTAGTGAAAACATCATGAGGATTATTCTACATTAAATTTCTGCCTATAGTTCCCTTTCATTTAAATCTTACACACTGGACCTTTAAAGTACCTAAAGTAAAAGTGCAAAATCCATGTTTGGAACAATATAAAATAGCGTACAAGTTTTAGGCACTGAAAGCAAACTGATCATACTTTCGAATATTATGTCACACCTTTTCAGTTTTTATTTATCACTTCATGCCATGTGTAGTAAAGAGAAAAAGTCCCCAGTTCTCCTGGTGGCACTTGCACACAGTTTCTTAAAGTAGGTGTCGAGTAAATTGTAATCCCATACATTCTCCTGTCCCTCAGTTGAATTAGATCAGACAGATGAGTATTGTTAAAGTATGAAAACAAGATGGAGTAAGTAAAGTTTATTTATATAACACCTTTCACAGACATTAGTCACACAGTGCTTCACAATCAAAGCGATAAAGTCAGAGTCAGAAGAGCCAATTAGTGATTAGCAAAGGAGAATAACAAATGCAAGAAAATAAGGATCTTTAATTGTTCAGAAACATAGAGGGGACAGTTTCATCCTTCATCACTCTTTTTCAAATTAACTGCCATGCAACCTAGGTCCACAGCTGGACTATAAGATTCAGTTTTTATGTGCTTACACTGTAATGTATTTTTTAGCTGTATGTACCATGTGTAAAATGGTACCAAGGTCTACCATTTGGCAATGGGTATGCTCTTGGAGACTTGAAGTGATCTAGCATATACATTTTAACCGACTGAATTGACCTGGGAGCAATTGCTTATTCTAAGGTAGTAAATCAATCTAAAAGCCATTATAAAAATGGTAGCTAATGATGTGAGGTATATACAGGTTGTATATGTTCAGCTGAATCTTCTAAACTGCCTGGGATAGAAGAGCTGCCTGCAGGGAAACCAGGATGAGGGAGGGGTAGGCAGAGTAGAAGATAGAGAGTCAGGGTACCTGACAGGTGAACATGTTGACAAGTCAGCAACTCAACATTGCTCCAGTGAGGGAAAATGAAAAACAGTCTTGTGTGACCCATTAGAAGGAAGTCTATAAGGATTCAAAATAGTTGAAGTTTAAAGAAAATTGCCAGAAACCACCTGCAGGGAAATGTGATTTAAGAAGAGAGTGATTGTAAATGAAGAACAAGAAAACCGTGCTGTCAGGAAACAAAAAAGGGTCAGTTGAGGTAGAAACCTGGATGTCATATACTTACTATACTTACAACAACCATTGGCTCTGGGGACAAGGCCTAAAGGACATGGACTGGGCCAAACTTTGCATAGGTTAGTCAAGACTTAACAAGAGACTAAGGATTTTCCAAATTCATGGTTTACTTTATCATTTTTGTTATTTTTTATTTCTTTTAACCAAAATTATACCACACTGACTTAAAATGTGCCCTGATGCAATCTTTTGGTTATTATCCATCCACAGCTAAATAAGCCTAACGTTTACTGCAGGTGCAACCACTCAATCATGGATGGGCCAAATATTTATCAAATATATGGCTTTCCCTGACTTTGACCAATATTTAGTTTTAAGTGTGAACTGCAAAATGAGTTTCGCTACATTAGTAAAATAATGAGAGGGGCTACAGTGGTGATAGCAGGTTGGTGTTAGGGTATTACAGTAACATTTGTAACTGTCTGAGTTTGTGGATGTTTGATCGCAGTTTCAGAATAGTTCCACCATTAGCCTCAAGTGACGTCACTGGAGGCAATTATCAGATGTTCGCACAGCTCCCTCTAGAGCCAGAATGTGGCTTTACAAAACTTTTGTCACAAACATTGCAGCACTCTCTGACACTAAATAGATTTGATGTGTAAAATTGGTGAAGTTCCCCTTTAATAGCACAGTGAGGAAGACCATGGTTCAGCATCAAACCTGTTGTAAATTGCTTCTTTCTATTTGCAAGTAAATCATGCTGAGCAATTAAAAAAAAGTTTTTTACGAACAGTGTTAGCAACTTATGACACCTCAGATAGAAGATGACTTTGTGAAGGTTTTACCTGGTGAGGTTAAACGAAATTAGGGTGACCTGATGTCAGGGGGGAACTTGTGAGGGTTAGAGTGTAGCTGTGAGAAAACCCAGGAGATGGATGAAAGAGCAGCAGCTGTGCAGAATACTAGGTTGCCTGAGGGGAAAACACCTGGAGCATCTGCCGGGCAGCCAGGAAAACAAGACGAGGCAACAGGAACAGGTTGAGTTGTGGGTACATGACATTATAACTATACAAAAACATGGTGCCGAAGTGTGAGTACTAACTTGGGTTCAGATATTTTTTTCCAAAGGAGATTACATTACCTCTTGCATCACATTGTGCAGCACACGGCCTGTGAACCGAGTTGCCTTTTTGCAGAACTCTGTAAACTTCATTCATTAGTGAGAGTCTCTGTGCTCTTCCTCTTGATTACACTGCATTCCTATGAAGCCTAACACTCATCTCCTATTCCTGCATTCAAAAGCCCCCTCGGTGGAGGTAGCTTCAAAGCTTTATGAATGAATGCGTGTGCTCATTAGCATGTTAGCTGAGCTGAGGAGGAACCTCGGTGCACCGGGCCCTGCAGCTAGACAGGGTTAAATTTGGAAACCTCTCTGCTAATTACACAGCTCCATGCAGCACAATCTGTCGGCGTGGCACTTCTCCTACACTGCAGCTAATCAAGTTGAAGCACTGGCTTCTGAGAGAAAGATGCTAATCAAGTAGAAAGTGTGTATGCATGCATGAGTGTGTGTCCCTGTTCTGTGATTGCACTGTGCCAGAGGTGCTGACTCTATTTATAATCTAACAGAGCTAAATCGAGAGAGTTGGTGCCAAGAATAGATGGATCTCCTCATTACGGAGGTTCAAAAGCAGTGGAGAGGCACATAGTGTTTAAACTGTGCCGTCTGCATGTGTGGCTCAGCTCTCTCTTCACAGACAGCTCTCACAGCTGGAGAAGTCGCACTCAATGTGATTAAATGAATGCCAGTCGTGTATTAATATTGCAACAACCAGAATGTGGTGTATGTGTTTGCTTTGACTCTTACTGATGTCTGCAGGGACGTCCGTTTGACTTTGAAGACGGAGACGTGTACATGTCCTCCCACGAGCATCGTTTCCGCATGTTCAGCTCGGTGGAGTATGAAGGGCAGCTGTACATGACCCCGCAGAACTTCATCGAGTCAGTCACCATGAGTGAACCAAGAAGTACGTATCACAGACGCACAAATCACCTTTCCCTTTTGTGTTCAAAACTCTTGACCTGAAACATCAATAATAAAATGAATGGTCTTTATATTCATAGTGAGATTAGAGAACATGCTGTGATTTTACAGTGTTGTGTAGGGACAAATCATTTGAATGTCAGTTAGAAAATGTATAAAGACTGTTAGAAAATTACAGTGTCCACCTACAGACGAATTCCACAAATATTTGTCTGTCTTTCTGTCTGTGGAAAGCATATCTCAAGAACCTTTATCTTAGTGGCTGCTGGTGTGCATAACTAAGGACCCATGAAAGTGCAGTCTCGCATTTGGTGCGATTTGGACACGTGATACATTTAATATTAATACAATTCGAAATAAGTAGGCCACCATCGCTCTGTAGCAGTGACTGCTGGGACTCTTCAATGGAAGCGACATCAATGACGAGTCGACAACAGCATGTTCGTGACACCAGTGAATTCATGATGACAGGCGCGTTCCGGAGTTCTGGAGTCCTTCAATCGGTCTTTACTTGTAGCCGCTTAGTTAGTGCAGGTCACTTTTACAGTTTTAGAAAAAAAGCCAACCAGCATGACCACAGGCCAAACAAACAGCACATTTTCTAAAGGCAGGTTTAGAACAGTGCACTCGTTAGCATAAATTCTCAAAGTGCTTTCAATCTGACAAAGACAGACAGGTATTTTTTATTACCTCTTGAATCCACTCTGCTGGACTCTATCTAGATTGTTATTTTGGCATCATCATACAGAAAAATTCTATTTCCCTGACAAAAGTAACCTCATCCCTGAAAAATCATGTGATATTTGTTTACTGATATGTTCCAAATATTCAAGTTAAGTTACATTTCTTTAGTTTCCACATTTAGAGACTGGCATTTCTTTTTGTAAATCTGCTTTATGTACCTTTGATGTGTTTGAGTTTGTAGATCTCCATCTCTGATCTAAATTTGATTTCCCAGTGTGGATGTCAGTGCCAACATTAAAAATAGATCTTTTTGTTTGACAGTGAAGATGTAAAACTCTTTAAAATCCAGGGTTTATAAAGGTCTTTGCTTTTTCTGTCAGCCTTCTGCCAGTCGAAACAGATTAGTCCCCGCCAGCTAGCCTCAAAGCAGATGGCTTTACCGCTATTGTTTAGTCTGAGGTTAATGTTAGTCACACACACACACACACACACACACACACACACACACACACACACACACACACACACACACATGCACACATACACACATACACTAGTGTGTGTTTAAAAATGTCCTCACAGGTTGAGATTATCTCAAACACCCGTCCAAAAAGGCTACCATTCCTTTCTTCGGCAGGCATGTGATTGTATTGCGTGCAAACTGTGCACCTGTATGTGTGTGTTTACATCAACCGCGGCTCGCTGACACACGATACAGCCGCACAAACCCTCTCAGCAGCCGGCATCCTCTAATGTGCCCTTTGAAGTTGAATTAGATGAACTTTGTTGTATAAAACAGAGCAAAAGTACTGCGTGCTTTTACGGGGACATTCCACAAACTACAAAGACAAGCACGGGGCACTTTAGACAGTACAAATGGGTCTGTGATGATGACACTGTATATACAGCGAGTGTGTCTGTGTGTGTTGGTGTGTGTGTGTGTGTGTGTGTTGTGACTGTACCCCGGCACATTTAGACCCATTTCTAGATCATACAGATGCTATCTGACCGAGCCCACCCAAACTCTTCTCCTCTTTCTCTCCTTTTTCTCCTCTCTTTTGTCTTGTTCCCTGGCAGACAAGAGGCCCTGGAGGTCCCTGACCAAACAGGTGGGAGACACACGCTCAATGCTGCTTTCCCCCTCTCCTCCATGTTGCAGGCATCGACGGCATGTTTCATCTGTTGCAGGCTTTGTATAGGATGCAGGTTAAATCCAGATTTTTCCACGAAGAGCTTGATATTTTAATGTTAACGTCCTACATTTAGCATTAGTGCATGTGTGGAATTACAGGACGATAGCATTTAACACTGCCAGCAGCACAACCACTGATTAGCAATGATAGACAGTACTGTTGGAAGGATATCTATTTTCAGTTTGTTAGTTTGTCACTGTGAGGATGTTACACATTTCAGTTTTTACAAATATCATAAAAAAATAAATGCAGTAGTATACTAAATGTGTTCAAACTATATGCAATGGATGTCTCTTAATTGATCATCCATCTGATTCGTATCGTTTCTTTTCACACAGTAGAAATTGACATTCACATATAACTTGACGCAGTGTATTTTCAATACACCTTTTCACTTGTTTTGACATATATCTTCAAACAGATGGAAATATGGAAACATCCTCCATGGCATATTTTTCAACAAATATTTATATTTTGAGTAGACGACACATCAAGATGGATATTTTGGGTCATGTCTCTGTCTGTTTCTGTCCATGTTAAAGTTGAAATATGAAGTTTGAAGGTGGGAATTTGCTGTTTTCACAGTGTATCTACTTGTGAATCTGTGTTTCGTGTGTGTTTGTCAGGAGCTGGAGAAGATCCTGTCAGACACTCCCCCAGTATGGAGAGGATCGTCTAAACTGTTCCGCAACCTGAGAGAACGAGGTCAGAGAGAGCACACACACACACACACACACACACACACNCACACACACACACACACACACACACTCAAAGGTGCAAAGGCACCTTAAACACCTTCACTAATATAATAATGCACATACATGCACTCACACTTCAAGACTCTTAAACCCTGCTTTAATTGTTATCAGAGTAAATAAGCAGCAGTCAGATAATAACAAGGTCGGTGAATGTCAGTGGATTAGGTTTTTGCCACTACAGTTTAACGTTATTATATTTATAATTTGTGTAGTGTTTTAATAAGTATGAATAAGTGAGAAATACAAGAACTACATTTATTACAGTTCTATAAATGTTATAGTTTTTCAGTTCGGTTTCATGTTTTCATGTGCACCAGTGCTTACCTGCTGAGGTGTGACTAAATAGTACCTGTGAACGTGTGTGTGTGTGTTTGTGTGTTTGTGTGTGTGTGTGGGTGTGTCACTGTAGGTGGCTCTAATCCGAGGTTTGGCCAAACAACCTGCTGAAAAACACTCCTCTCTTCACCTCTCCTCTCCTCTCCTCTCCTCTCCTCTCCTCTCCTCTCCTCTCCCTTCCCCTCCTCTCCTCTCCTCTCCTCTCCTCTCCTCTCCTCTCCTCTCCTCTCCTCTCCTCTCCTCTCCCCTCCCCTCCTCTCTTCCTCTCTCCTTATAAACCATTTGTTTCTAGTGTGTAACACAGGTTTCAAACAGTTTGAGAGTAAGTCCCCATGGTGATAATCACACACGCACACACAGACACACACTAGGAGATGCTAAATATATCACACCCTGTGTGATGCATCCCCTCTCTCCCTCTATCATGACTGAGGAAACGGAAAAGGCCGAGATCCGAGGAGTGAGGGAGTGGAATGGATGAAAGGAAAAAGGAGAAGTGGAGGGATGTAAAGAAATTCCTTTTATGTAAAGTAAAAGAGAAGGTTTGTTTGAATTTATAGACAGTGCATGTCTATTACAGTAAGTATTTGCTTGAGGCATATTACTGTAAATGCTTTGCGCATATTGTCAAGTCCACAAACACTGTTACTGCAGCACAAACAGAACGTGGCCTGGAATCATTGGAAATGGACAGTGTGTTGTTGTGTTCAGTGCTTGTGCTTATTCTCATATTTATTCAGTGTCGGTGTCAGCTTTCCTCCAATCTGGTCTCTGATATAAGTTGTGTGAAAAACATGCAAATGCGTGTGTGTGTGCGCTCATGTTCAAACATGCTCTCCTATTCATGCCAAGATGAGCGAGGACAGTTGAGTTCCTTGGAATTGCCTTGGATTGCTGAGATTAACAGAGCTGTCTGTCAAACTGAGGAATGTAACAGTAATGGTTTCACTTTGCTAAAGAATGACTGGATGTGTTTAACACTGTGATCTGTTTATGGGGTTTATGTGATAATATGTGCTCTGTGAGTGCCATTCATGTTACTTTTCATGTGGGTAGTTGACTGGTAACTTGAGTGAACTGGGTGAGCTGATGTGCTGCAAAAAATACAGTTTCATGCCAGCAATTAGCACATTTTAGGCTTCCCTTAAATGTTGCAATGTATGAACTTAATAATATGAATAATAAGTAAATAGAAAAGGATTAAAATGTTTAAATAAATATACTGTATAAAGATAATAAAATGGGTAATTTAAACCATTTTTTTTGGAATCAAATGCTGTTAAATAAGCGTGTTTTCAAGACAACCAACACTTCTTCTGTTTGTACTGTTAATTGTTTCTCCTTAATTACATCAAAGATAATCAACCATTCACTGTAATTCAGTGATATTTTACTGATCGTGTGAGAGTGAAAACATGCAGAATGTGTTGTCGAAACCTGAGTCTTTGCACAGTTCAGTCTACACAGAGAAAAGAGAATTCAATTCCAAACCAGCTCTCTCTTCTACTCAAAGCAGTCATGCATCAGGAAAACACAAGGCTCACATGGCTTCGAATAGTGTCCTGTTCACCGACACACACACATACACACACATAAACACACACATGGGAAAGCAGTCTCCCGTAACACTCAAGCGAGTCACCCTGAACTATCTGAACGATCAGACAGAGAGCGACAAAGAGGGAGAGAGATGAGATGGAGCTATAGAGATTTCTAAATGGGCCTGAGGCAAGGAAGGATCACCTCCTAAAACATTTTTCAGTTGCTTATCCAAACACAGACACACACACACACACACACACATCACACCCCTGCCAACCAGTGTCTTTACTCTGGACACTTTGGGTGTAGGAAAAGAAACGGTGTGTGGCCTAATAGCTGTTGGCAGCTCAGCTTGAAGAAGACACATTTAAAGATGCTATCTTCATGAAAGGGAGGATTATGTGTGTGTGTGTGTGTGTGTGTGTGTGTGTGTGTGTGTCAGTGTCAGGAGGCCCATGGTCTTTGAACATCTGTAAACATTGTGTGCGTTTGACCTTTTCTTTAACTGTCTCTATCTTGGTCTCGTTTCTAGGCATCATCTCTTACACGGAGTATCTGTTCCTGCTCTGCATCCTGACAAGTGAGTCCGTTCAACACGTTTTTTAAGACATGAACAAAGTCCAGATAATATGCAAACCCAATTATCCAGACGCTATCGTGACTGTGCCTTTCACATGTGAAGAACACAGCAGGAGATTATCCGGATTAGACACGTTCAGGATGTCTGGATATAGCGTGCTGGAGGCAGGACCTTAGGGCAGCGACATATAAATTACGCTGATGAAATCACATGTTTTTGTTTCCAGCACATCGTTTCTTATCACCAAAAGCTCTCTAATCTCGTTTTTCCAAGTTGACAGCTTCGTTGGTATCTTCCACGTGTATTGCACTTCTTTTAAGATATTTGCATTCTTTTTGTATAGTTTTTTCATTTTGCCCCTGCAGCTCACGATGAATCCTCCGGAAATGTTCCTGCAGTATCAGGAGCAGCTTTAGAAAATGTCTTGAGCAAATGACTCAGACATTTGTGTTTACACTTACAGCTCTTCTGAATGATTTCAGGAAAATGTGCATGTCTGAAAGCAGCTTTATACCTCATTAAACCAAAATGAGCAGGTATATGCAGGTTTTTTTTAAACCTGAGTAAACCTGCTAAATGCGACAGTGTACTATATGTCTATAAGTTTCTCTTTACACATCCCTCTTCTATCATTGTCTCTCTTTCCCTTAGCAGTATAAACTATCCCTATTTTAAAGAGTACAAAGTTAGCGGAGCTACGGTGCATGGTCTGAACTATGATCAGGCCCACCCAGGACTTAACAAGACCCAATTATGACGCAGCACGGGTGGATTTCCCCTTGCCCTTGGGCTACGAGAGAAATTAAGAGTCACAGAAAAAAGAAAAGAAAAGTAGTAATGCTCGACTTAATTCTTTCAAAACTTAAATGTAGGCAGGAATGTGAAGCTTGTTACTCATAAAAGCTGCTTGTCGTGCACTCATCACATAACTTTTTTTTTTGTGTTCTCAATTCTTACTTCTAATTTTGGAATGTGTTGTTCTCCTTGCCTTCAGAATTTCAGAACATTTAAGTCTTTTGTCTCAGAAAACAGCACACTTTTGGCATCTGTTGTAGCTCAGTATGTATTCACATAAAATGAGAGAAAAGCCATTAATCATGACCACATTAATCAGGAAACTACTGAGGGATTTTATTATTGCTGTCTGATCAATTTCATTAATGTTCATTTAAATTCTGAGGGGGAGTAAGAAAGATAGAAAGCTAATCTAAAATAAATGTATGACCAGTTTCATGTGGTGTAAAAATGTTGCTCCCAGTCCTGTAAATTGTAGGTTTATCTCCCCCCTGTCTTGTCCTATATGCCGCTTCTTCTATTTCTGTATTCAAAATTACCTTTAACACATGCTCACACTCACCCTATGTGCTCTCCTCTCTGTTTTCTAGAGCCCCACGCTGGTTTTAAGATTGCTTTCAATATGTTTGATGCAGACGGCAACCAGATGGTGGACAAGAGGGAGTTCTTGGTGGTGAGTCGCTGATACTGCGAGAAAATCCTCCCTCTGCTCAATTTCCATGTTATAATATTCACATGACTCTTTGCTCCCATCACAACAGAGAAGTGTTGTGAAGGTTTTAATATAAATACTGATAATCAGTGTTAATAATTAGTCTCAGCCTCCATCCACCCATTATCGATACCACTTATCCTCTAAGGGTTGTTGGGTGTGGGACTGAAGCCAATCCCAGCAGACTTTAGACGAGAGGTGGAGAATATTCCTATCATCTTTTTTGTAAATGGTCTTATGGGGAGAACATGAACAAAATAAAAACAGAGACTTTATCTATGTTTTTACCCGTTTTTTATTCCAAACCACCTTAAGCTGTAGCTATTGTTTTCAACTTTAAAGCATTTAAATGCATGCAAATGTCTGTTTTTCAGTGTCTCTGTGGAGGCTGGTGGGAGTAGGATAGTGCATCAGCGGGGGAGTGGGTGGTAGTGGTGGAAAACCCTGTGGGAGCAGACAGGTGTGGGAAACCAAAAAATTCCCACGTTGTGGCTTCAGCAGTATGCTTAGATTTTTGCCAGCTAGTAACACGTGGTCAAAGAAGGAGGGTATTTGACTTAAATGCAGATCAGACACTACATGCAGATCACACTGTGAATAAAGATGGATGATGCATCTGCTCTTCCTCCCATTATCCAGAAATGCTGCTTTTTATGCATTTAGAGTTTTAGAGAGTATTCTGCACAATAGGTCCTGTTAACGCATGCGCTCGACCAATCCCGAGTCAGTCTTAGCTGTCAGGACATTTCACGCTGTTTTTATAAAAATTAGTAATTACAGTCAAACTTACAGGACAATTTTACCACTGCACTGGGATTTACAACAGTGTGACAAGAACCACACTAACATGGAGGAGGCTGGTTTTATGACCTATACTGCAGCCAGCCACCAGGTGGCGATTAAGATGCATTGGCTTCACTTTTGGTGTGGTGTCATTTTGTCCATATTTATATACAATCTATGGATCACACAGACACATCCGTTTATAATAAAAAATTTAATCATGTGTTGATTTAAGCAAATAAATATAATTTTGTAATGAAAAATATATAAGGTTGTTTAAGTGTTTAAAAATGGAAAAGCTCAATGTACACTGAAAGTAAAATAAAATCAAGGACCACCCACCTAAGAGCGATTTCTGTGCAGCTAAATTGTTTCCTGCCGCATGATTTAGTATTGATCAATAGGCTACTTATATATCCGTGAACATAAGTCACATCCAAAGCCAAACAAGAAAACCAACACTCTCTTAGTCATTAAGTCAGAAGAGCGGTGCTGGAATCACACCACAGACCAGTCTGAACGCGTGACTGACCCTGTGAACCCGGTGGATGTTTTACACATGAGCATTTAAGCTTCAAACGGAGCTTTAGATCTGACTTTGACTTGTCAAAGAGATCCTGATTCTTACTCTCGTTACAGCTTCAGGAGATCTTCCGGAAGAAAAACGAGAAGAAGGGAAGGAAGGGAGATGCTGAAAAGTCAGCACAGTTGGTAAGAACCATGGTAACATGGGACCAGAGTGTGTGTTTATGTGTGTGTGTGATGGATACTTTTGGATGTAAAATGATTTCGTTGAAATTCAAAATGCTCTGGTTTTATTAAGATTTTATTTTTCATTTAACAGTGAAAAGTTAACATGACTGTTTCTGTTACTTGCCTCTTCAAATGGCATTTGAATACATCCATGTATATATTGTGGCACGGCTCCTCTCATGTCACCTCTTCAAGGTGAGTGCTGCGTCAAACTGGATGTATTGAAAATGACACGTCATCAACCAAGTTAGTTGTCGTCTGTATTGAAGCAGGTGTTAGTCACAGTTAAACCCTTCATGTGACCATGTTGGATCGCATGCTGCCTTACAGAAGCTGTTTCTGACACTGTTATCGCTTGTGATTTTAATGTGTACTGACAATTGTCTCTACTTTTATATCGGATACACTCTCAGATCAATGTGTTTTTCTCAGCACAGCTGTGGTCGACATTTAGGAACAGCCCTTATCAATGAAAAGCATTCAAGGGGCAATGCATATCCTACACACTTGCGCTGTATATATACCCATGCCAGGAAATATTACATTTTTAATATTGTCACAATGTCATTCTATAATGTCATCATGACATCATTATTTCATATGATGACAAAGGATTGTTTAATATAAACAAGGTGTGGATCATGTGATCTTATTGTTTGCAAAGGTTAATGCATTCCTACAATAAATGGCGTAATTCTTTGACTTCATAGTGATGTCATGACGACCATATGACTCCTTTGTGACCTCTTCATGACAACACTTGATGATTATATCCTATCAATATAAGTCTCTGTAACTATTATTTGCAGGGATATTTTGGAAAAGGTTTTTTTTCCTGACCATATTTTTGTTGACCTTTGATCAATCGGCTGATCTAGAGGTAACCTCACGATTACAACTATGCATTAGGTGTTCTAAGTTTGTCTTTTTCCTCATCTTTTTCCAGGAATACGTTTTTTACGATCAATCTACAATCAGGAGAGTGCATACCTCCATCATGGCCCAACTGTCTCCTTGTGAAACCATATTTAAATACACTAGATTCAGACATGCCCCATGAGTTATTCTCTGAAAAATCAACATTCCTTATGTCACAATGATAAGAATGAAATGTAACTAAAATCCTGGATCTGTCCCCTGATCTGGATCTTCACAAAAATATTATTGGGTTCTTTCCTGATCCCCATAAATTTTGAGGTAATCTGTCCAGTGGTTTTTGTGTAATCCTGTTTACAGACCAGTGAAATCCACTGCTGCTGAAGAGAAACAGAAATTACTTAGAAAAAAGTTAGGTGTCCACCAAACTCATAGTTTGACACCAATGACCTCTGGGAAGTGCAGTGTAGTGTTGTAGTGTGTGTGTTGTTCTGAAATGTAACCACAGATGTGTTGAAAAGGAAACATCTCTCTGCAAAGTGTATCCACAGCCTATTTCCTTGCATGTACTAACATGTCTTTTACCTTCTCTCCTCCTCCTCTCTACTCCTCCTCCTCTCTGGCTGCATGCTCTGACCTTCTCTTCCTCATGTCTCTCTCTGTGTGTTAGAGTATGCAGCTGTATGGATATCAGGTTGCCCCCATGAACAGCGTATGTATCTAAAATCATATCCCCTTAGTGTTCTCTCTGCTTTTCTTTAGATGTCTGTTTTCATGTAAAAGGAAGAGGAAGTTTACTTGTCAATTTAATCTAAAAAAATTCTAATGTGTTGGTGAAAGGTGAG